GTGTGGGGCCGGAGACAGCCAGCGCTGTCACAGGAGGCTGGGCTCTCCTCTCGCAGCCTCCTATGTCAGAGAGGAGAACGGGTACAAGCACTCAGCGATCAGTGATCGCTGAGTGTTTGTACATAATTGAGGACCTGGTATGTAAACTATATCCTCAACTATGAATGAACGGGAGTGATCTACATCTCCTCCTGTTCATTCATAATTGTAGTTATAGTAAACATACCATGTTATCAATGAACAGGAACACTTATAAAGGATTCCTGTAGGAGGGGAGGTGCAGGGTACAGTTCCAATGGTAGTTTATATAATGGGGGGGGGGGGCGAAAAAAAAATTCTGCCCCGGGCGCCTAGAACTCTGGTTACGCCACTGCATCCAGTAAATTTTTTCAGCGCACACCACCGCAATGCCTGTTCATTGCGGTAGTGTGAACCAAGCCCATCCGTGACAAGGCAAATTGCCTTGTCTTGTGTTAGGGCTACTCTGGAAAAAATGTCCAGCACAGCCCCAACGCATCTGGTGTGCATGGGAGTGTATATCCCACCTCGGTAGAGAGTGCTTATGCATTTTGAGGTTGCATTTCTCCAAGAGAATCCAGTGCAAAGCCACATACTCATTGTTCTTCCTCATTCTGGGAGTTATTGTTGTATGCCTTGGCAAACTTGGCCAGGGAACCTATTCAGTCTCCAGGGCCTGGCGGCGGGGTATGGAGCCAGTTACCCTGCTCTGGTGGCGAGACTCCTTTTCTTTGGATAACACTGGACCAGAGATTTCTCCACGGTACTATATACCACAGGGTGCTGGAATATACATTTGCCTTATGGACATCGATTATCATCATTAAGTCTTGTTGGAGCATCCCGAGGCCGCTCCTAAAAGGTGGGGGGGCATTGTCAGGAGTATGCAGAACAGCAAGGCACCGTGGTCCCAGGGCTAGCATAGTGTAATGTTGTAATGCAGTAATTCAGTGTGAAACTTTGTGCAGGAGCTTCCTGTATTAAGACCAGTCATTGCAGATCTCTTTCTGTGTGCAGGGTAACTGGTCTTGTATCTGCCCCCTCCTGTAGTTTTCTGCAGGCAGCCTGTAGTGGGTGTCTGTTGTGTCTCTGACCTAGGCTATATTTAGGTGAAGGTTTTGGGCCCGAAATTTAGCTTTTATACAGCTGTACCTTTCTTAACATGTTAAAGCTTGTATGAGATTTTAGTTAATGGGTTCAGATACACTTTAAAGTGTATTTCCGCTTTGCAGCCAAATTGGGATAACACCTTCTTTATATTTGTTATATGTTCCCATTTACATAGCATAACTTAAAAAATATTTTAAAAAATAGCTGCTTATCTTTTTACATGCTTTTATGAAAACTCCAGGTCTAAAAAAATACCTAGTTCTCTATTGCTAGCAGAACTACCTCCATCATTCAGGAGTAATATCTCCCCCTGATTCGTACTGTTGTTGGTCCCTCTATCACAACTATTAGCTTTCTCTGCCATCAATCAAATTGTTTTATGTGAAAGAATACATTACCAGCACCACTTTAAGTGTGCCTGCAACCAGGCCCGGATTCCGCACAAGGCCACCAAGGCCCGGCCTCGGGGTGGCAGGGCGCAGAGGGGCGGCATCGATGTCCTTGTGGGGAAGTTGCCCTCTCCATATTCAGTCCTGCTTTGTACAAGCAGGACTAAATGTAGAGTGAGGCAGCCGATTGTTCGTTTACATGTGAACTCGGCGATGTCGCCAAGATCACATGTAAACAGTGTGCAGCCTCCTCCCCTCCCCCCTGCACTTACCTCTCCTCTGGTTCCGTCCTCCACTGCCGAGTCTCTCACTGCAGTAGACAGTGAGAGGGGAGAGCTGTGCTCTTCCTCCCTCACCTGTCACAGGAGTTCCAGCACAGTGCTGTGCTGGAACTCCTGTATTGGAGGTGACAGAGTCAATAAAGAGAACCTGTCACCTCCTATTGCTATCACACAGGGGATTGTTTTCTCCTGTGTGATAGCAATAAAGTTGGGTTAAAAAAAATACATTGATTTAAAAAAAAAATTAAATACATAAAAATTAAAAAAATATGAAATATTTAAATAAAAAGGTGATTAAAAAGTAAAAAATAATAAGAAACAAATTAAAAAATAATTAAATAATTATAAAAAATAAACAATAATAAGATAAAAAAAATATAAAAAAGTAAATAATAATAAAATAAATCTAAAAAAAATGTAATTGATAAAAAAATAATTAAATAAATAAAAAATAAACGCATCAGGGAGAAGCAATGAAACACAAGCAGGGAGAAACAGGCACATCTAAAGGGTTCCCAGGGATGTGTTCTTTGATATAATTCTTTAAAAAAATTTCCAAGGTAAAAACCTGTAAACGTTTCAGGATCTTGCAGGGCCCTCCCACTTAACTCGGAGCAAAGAGCAGCAGACAAACTCAGTAATTATGTCAGTAGATTTCAAAACATGCATGCATACACATATGCATACACTACACTGCAGCTTCAAAGGGTATCTATGTTCAAAAACGAAAAATGTATTTCAATATTGAATTTCCTTAAAGGAGAACTATGGGGTCAGGGCTTTTCCTAATAGTTCTCCTAAGGGTCACGGGAGAACAGAAACTAGCCTTCTCCTGAAGGCTAGTTTCTGTTCTCTGAGGCGCCGCAGCTGCAACGGATCCCGACATTGCTGTCGAGATCCACCCAGCTGCGGGATTGACAGCTGGCTCTGCCTATTCAGAGCCAGAGCCGGCTGTGCCCGCCCCTCCCCCGTCCGTTCCGCCAGTCAGCGCTGAAGGATCGGACAGGGGAGAGGGGGAATCCCTGCAGGGAGCCGTGAGTGACAGTCACGGCTCTCTGCAGGGATAGATCGAGAAGTGAGCGAGCGACGGTATGTGTTCGCTCACTTCCCAATCTACTAAGCCGACCTGTGACAGTTTCATTGTCACAGGTCGGCTCAGATTATGAGGCTGAGTGAAAATCATTTGCCTCATAATTCTCCTTTAAGGTCAATCCCCCTCCTAATAACCATAGATGTTTGTACACATACTTATTGAAGATGCCCACTTTCTCAATGCACTGGCACAATTGCATTCACCCCTGTGATTTACACTTGATTATGTCACAACTCTCATAGAGCCTGCCTTCTGAACTACAACATCATGTTTGAACAATGTAACATTATCATTGCTTGCTGATAGCAATGCATTATGGGCTATGTAGTCTTGAGAAACTGAGATTGAATCACACCAAGCAGTAGAGAAAGAGATACAAAGCACACTGGGAGTCCCAGAAGTTGTTGAAAGTGTCGGGCAGACAGAAGGAAGCTCTCAATACATAAAAGGGATTTTTTTCAAGTAAGCTTTGATTGCATTATCAAAAACAACTCTAATATGTATTCATATTACAATGCTGATGTTATAACAGGGTAGTATATGCTATGACTCTAGAACCAATTGCCGTCCACACATCACATTGTATAAAAAAGGATGGTCAGCATGTGCTTAAATGTGGGTCACCGTACATGTACGTGGCTGGCTATCCCGGGCTCCACTGTCACCCGTACGGCCTGGAGCTGGCATGGCAGTTCTCTGCACTTAGATCGGAGGGAGATCAGAACACTCCCACCTGCTGATCTCTCCTCCAATCTCTAAATGTGGAGTGATGTAAATTTAATCACTTCTAGCTTCAGTGTGTCATTTCTCTAGCTGCTGATCTACTTCATCAGCTTCTTTGGGGGTCCCTAGATGACATTAGGGGTCTAATAAATCCCTGATGTCTCCATAAAGAGGACCTATGACTGTGTTTGTGCTATCACATAGGGGGCTTGTTAAGAACACCAGGACCATGCACTGCCATATATTGCAGGACCGCGCTGAGGCTGTGAGGGTGCCCAGGACCGGACCGGACCCCACTGGGCCCCCCACAGCCTCAGGCCCCAGTGCCCCGGCACCGCCTGCACCGGCGGTAGTTCCGCCACTGCCTCGATGTAAAAAAAAAAAATCATTCTCCCTTTCCGGGAGAAAATGTTACTCTCCCGGTTGTCCGAGTGCCGCTATCTTATAGCATGAGACTCCCGGAACATCCGGGAGAGTTGGGATGTCATATATATGTTAATCAAACTACCACAGCGCTGAATACTGAAAAATGACCTTGACAGGAAGGTTTTTTTTTTTAAAGATTAAAGTTTATTAAAGTTTTTGGTAATATACAAAGAAGGCAAGTAAGACAGTACGGAGAAATAAGGTACTCTCACATAACAAAGGGTCGACATGAGGTATGCATCGAATTGCAATCGGGAAACGTTTACTCAGTCCTACAACTCCTAGATTGTCTGCCAGCATTTGTGCCGTGCAAAAAAAAAAAAACCCCAAATGCATCTAGAGTGATGGGAAAGAAAGTAGAGAGAAAGAGAAAGGAAGGGAGGGGAAAAGAAAAAAGGTGACGGAAAGATAGGTGGAAAACCGAAGGTGTTGCATCAGAGCCCGGGCCACCCACATTTGTAGTAGGTATTTATACATGCATATATACATATAAGTATTCACGTTTTTTTTTAAATATTGATTTATTGTGACTGCTTATTGTGACTGCTACAGACTGCTACAGATAGTTAGGTTGACAATAATAAGCGGAACTTGTCGGTTGTGCAAAAGTGCAACCACACACTCCACAATTCGACGGGAAGGGGGTTTAACACCTAAGTCATCAAGTGGCTAAAGTAGAACTCTAGCCAATACTGTTTTGAAGGTCTATCCCTTTCTAAAAACTATATTTTTTCACTTTATAGGTAGTGAACCCTTCAACTTAGTGCTGTGTGTGGTGAACCGTATACCCAGAGCGACAGAATTCAAGCGCCGTAATGAAACCCTCCAGCAGGTGGCGCCTGTCGATTACATTCTTTAGAACAGGAGCCAGAGAAGTGCTCAGCATTGTAAGCGGGCGGGGACGTGTTGTGATTATGCCACGTTCTCTCAGTTTCACGGCAGCCGCCTGCACTAAAATCCCGAGTAAAAGAGGTGTGTGAACCTAGGAGACAAAGTTAGTGGGGAAGAGACCCGGGGCCAGCATTGCGGGAATTCAGGCTCATGCAAACTTCGGAAGAACCCAGGAGGAGAGAGAGAGTGCGCTCAGCGGGTTCCGAGGGGGACTGGATCGTCAGGATCTTGTAGCGATCCACTTTTCATGCCAGTAGGGATAAGTGAACTATTCGCACTATCTGGAGGGTGTCGAGTCAGGGAGGAGTAGCTGGGAAGTGTACAGGAATTACAGCAGCAGCAGCCGGGATGTTTTGAGCCGATCTCCGGCGGGTGGTGGATTCTTTTGGAGGACAGGCGATCTCAGCAAGTTGGGGACTTTTCATGGTGACAATAAGGACACTGGATCTGGTGGCAGAGAAAAGGGAAGGACTGCAGGAAGAAGGTCTCCAGGTAAGGTTACAGCTCTGAATAATTCATGACTTTTCCACTTCTACTCTCCCTGATCACAGTGTCTCTGCACAGTTCAACTCTATCTCTCTCCAGACAGTGGGGAAGGGTTAGAGCAGGGGTGGGCAACTCTGGCCCTCCAGCTGTTTTGGAACTACAAGTCCCATGAGGCATTGTAAGACTTACAGTTACAGGCATGACTCCTGGAGGCAGGAGCATACTGGGATTTGTAGTGAAAGCACAGCTGGAGGGCTGGAGTTGCCCACTCTTGAATTAGAGCTGGAGTTGCCCGCTCTGGAAAGTTTTTTATTGCTGTATGTGTCCCCTTTCGGGAGATTCAGCCCTCTGTTTGTACTGGTGAACACTGTCACCGAAACAGATTGGAAATCCAACATTTCTGAAGTCCAAATCCACACACAATAATCTGAGTCCAGTAGTTTGTACAGAAACTTTTCTGTAAAGCCACCTTCCATAATCGGCACTGTAGGGATGTGCGTGGGCTTTGTGCGGACAGAATTCCCCTAAGCCTGTGGAAAACTGTCAGTGATGTCCTCCAATCAGCTGCGGCCAGGGCATTCCAAAAACAAAAAAAGTTTTGGCTAGAAATACACTTTAAAGTGAATTTAGACTTTTGCAGTCAGATTTGAGAACCCCCCAGTATATGTTATGTGTTCCCATTCACACCGCACACTTACCATGTGACTTTCTTACCTTTTCTTGTTTTTCCCTAAGGCCCCATTCACACTGAGCGGATTGCCGCCGCAATATCGCGCATTTTTGCCGTGCGATATCGCGAGAAGTCGCCGGCCAATGATTTTCAATGGAGCTGTCTTCATGTACAGCTCCGTGTCGCCCGTCGCGGTCGCTTCTACAGGACCCTTTTTTCGGCGAATTTTGCGCGATTTTTTGATTTTTAATGCAGCCCGACGGTCGCGCTACCGTCGCTGGAACGTCGCCCCAAAAGTCGCGCTATCCCGGCCGCGCGGATCCGCTCCTAAAGGTATGTCGCTTAGTGTGAATGGGGCCTTAGAGCAGGATTATATATGGGACCTCAGACTCTTCTGAACCCTTTCTGACGGACAAATGAGGACAGAGACACATTCTCCTCATTAACATACAATGCAGAATCCAAGCCTCGAGATATTTAACCCTTTGTTAGGACAGACAGAATTGAAATCTAGTTTACAACTGACATTAAGAGCTGCCAGCACAGTACAGACAGGGTTAATTATGGTAAACATGAACTCCCAGCCCCCGTTTTAAAGAAGAATTAATCTTAAACTGCCCATACACCTTGCGATCATTGGACAACACTTTTCGTCCGATGACCGAACCGTCATACGATTTTCGTACAGCGGCCCCACCCTCCCCAGATTATCTCAAGGTTGGATCAACGGTAATTAGAAGAAAGCACCTGGACGGATTGCAGTAATCGAGTGCACGTATTTTCGTCTGCGCATGTGCAGTGTAAATCGTACGAATTTTGACGTACGGAAACGCCTCCAACCTTGCGAAAATTGTACGATCGACCAAAGTTTCTCTAACCTGCTGGTCAGTCAAAAGTCGATCGATTGTACAGTATTTGCGGTTGCACACTGCCCATCAACCGTACGAATATCGAATGAAAACATGATCGCATACGGCAATCGGCTGATAATCGTAAGGTATGGGCAGCTTCAGCTCTTGCAGTGGGGCTACCCCCACACTGCAAGGGTTAACTGCTCGTTTTCATCTAGGAGCAAAAATAACAGTTATTCTCACCTGAACCTTGCAGCCGGCTGGCTGGTAGACCGGTCCCTGCAGCCTCTTTTCTCCTCCACTAAGGTCCTGTGATTCATCAAGTCCCATACAGTGTATTGCATGTCAGGATGCCAAGGAACTAGAGCTGCAGCTAACGATTATTTTCAAAATCGATTAGTTAGCCGATTATTAAGTTCGATTAATCGGTTAATCGGATAAAAAATAAAATACATTTTTAAAAATGGCTCCAGTGATGGGACTTCTAGTTTGTATTGAGATTGCAGTCCATCACAGGAGCAAGCTTGGAGCGGTGGAAGTAAAAAAAAAAAAAGTGTGGTGTGCAATATAGTGAAATGGAAAGTGTCAAATTATACAGAAATGAATGCAGAATGGCACCGGCTATAGAGGACTACAAATCCCAGCAATAGTACATTATAGCTGGCGGTATTCTGCATTGCGCTGTACTATTGCTGGGTTTTGTAGTCCTCTCTAGCTAGTGGTATTCGGCTTTGCACCACTGTATAATGTACTATTGCTGGGATTTGTTGTATTCCTCTACAGCTGGTGGTATTCTGCATTGTGCTGTATAATGTATTATTGCTGGGATTTGTAGTCTTCTATAGCTGGTGGTATTCGGCTTTGCACCACTGTATAATGTACTATTGCTGGGATTTGTTGTACTCTATAGCTGGCGGTATTCTGCATTGAACTGTATAATGTACTATTGCTGGGATTTGTAGTCCTCTATACAGCACAATGCAGAATACCACCAGCTATATAGGGATACAACAAATCCCAGCGATACATTATACATACAGTGTACAATGTATTGCTGGGATTTGGATTCCTATGTATAATATACAGCACAATGTACCATCAGCTATAGAGGAATACAAATCCCAGCAATATATTATAAAACTCCATGTGTGGGGAAAGTGCAGGCTTACCTGAGCAGTCTTCCAGCAACTTGTTTCTGTGATTGGACTTGTCTATCGGCAGCTGTCCTCCCACCACACCTGTTCCTTCTTACTTCTTCTCCCCGCGTCCCTGTGCCGATCGTGGATGTGGGTGGACGGTGAGTGTGAGGAGGTGCGTGGATGCGGGCGGGTCTGGCAGCGGCGAGTGTAAGGTGGGGAGGAAGTGTGGCGCACAGCGTGTGTGGAGCCGTGAACAGGGCCAACCAATCAGAAGCCGATTAATCGATGATTGAAAAAGTTGACAACTTTTTCAATAATCGATTATGTCGATTAGTTGTTGCAGCCCTACAAGGAACATTCCAATGCTGGAATGGAGGAAGGGGGAGGCGTCAGGAACTGGTCTAACAGCCAGGTGGCTCCAAAGTTGCGCTAAGTATAACTTTGTTATTTTCGATCCTAGACAAAAACGATCACTTAACCCTTGAAGTGCAGGGGTAGCCCCGTTGCAAGGGTTAAGATCTTTTTTCCCCGCCGAGATTTCTTCTTTAAAGAACAACTCCAGAACAAAACTCTTATTAACCCTTGCACTGGGGCTACCCCTGCACTGCAAGAGTTAACTGCTGTCTAGGTTCCAAAATAAAAAGTGATACTCACCTGAGGCTACGACTCACACCTGCACTACACCGCACGACACCAGGGACGCACGATCATGTGCTAGTGGACACAGCGATTGCCACGCAGCCCCATTGATCTTAATAGGGTGACATCTGCGCGGCAATCGCTAAAAAAAAGGTACATGTACCTTTTTTTGCGACACACAACACAAGGCTTTTTCACGTGTTCTTTTGCATGAGCTGAATTGCGATGGGAAAACCGCGCGATCCGCCTGGTGTGACTTGGGTGCCATTAGAAAATAATGGCACCCACAGCGCGATCGGTTCACACCTTGGCCACTCCTGACCGCTGGGCAATCGTGCACAAAACCTCGTGGATTGCCACGCGGTTAGGAGTTGCCTAGGTGTAAACCTAGCCTCAACCTTGGAGCCAACTAGCTGTCACTGTGTGCTCCCTCCAGCCTGTCTCCTCTTCCGCTGCAGTGATGGTATGTATCTTTGTGTCCTTACGTCCTATACACTGTGTATTGGATGTGATGACTTGAGGATCCTTAGACTGCTGGAGCGGAGGGAGAGTGAGGCTGGGAGGACCGGTCTAATTGCCAGCCAGCATGGCGGATCAGGTGAGTAGAACTGTATATTATTTTAGTCCCCAGACAAAAACGAGCATTTAACCATTGCAGTCCCACAGCAAGGGTTAATAAACATTTTGCCTGGAGTTCTGCTTTAACATTACATAGGGGGGAAGCTGGGGGGGATTTTTAGGCAAGTAAAAAGCACTCTAAAATGTAAGCAGCAATTGTTAAATATTTGTCTAAGTTGTGCAATGTGAATGGCAAGATGTA